TGTAAAATCACATTTTACTATTTAGCGTGAGTAAAACCCCCTTGAAGCGTATATCCCAGGCCTCGGCTAAACCCAGTAACCTCTCTTCAACCTCCACAACATCGAACACCAGCCTCGAGAAGCAGGAGGCCAAGGAGGACCAAGTAGATCAACTAAGTCAAGATCAAGATGACCTCTCTGAGAAAAGTGAAAAGGTTGTGGTGAACTATTCATTTTTTATATTTTTATTTAAAAATTCTTCATAAGCGTTGACACTCTTAATGTAAAGCGCTTTAACTCTTAATCTGCCAATAACAGCAGTCATGTACTGAAATTATATTATATTGACCCAATATAGCGGTCAACCAAAGGAATTCTGAGCTGAACATTTTTAAATTTTGGATATCGATATCGGAAACCTTCCAGCCAAACAGAAGCCGAGAAATTTTGAAATTTTGGCGCGCAATTTATGCGAAAACTCTCATTGGTCGGAATCCAAAAGAGAGGATTAAGCAGGAAATCAAAATTGTCAACATTAGATACAGAGATTTAGCAATCAGGATTTAGGGTATCCAATACAAGGGTTATCAGCTCAGTGGCCGAATTTAAAGAATTTGAGCGGCGGTTTAAATTTAAGCCGCGGCTTAAATATGGTTGATTCCACTTAAAATTGTATCAACTGTTTCAAGATTTAAGCCGGCGCTTAATTTAAACCGGGTTTTGGCAGATTTAAACCGCGGCTCAAATTCTTTAAATTCCAACTCAGAAGAGATTATCTATTTCCAGCAAAAATTGTTTTTTTGTTTTTATTTTGTAAGAACCTTTTTTTCAGGATTTTGAAAGTAACCTCCTGATGACGCCTGCTACTCCTGGAAGCCGATATTTACTCCTGGGACAGGAGGAATATAACGAACATAGGAGTACTGTGTGTGCTCTCCAGGTATATACAGGGTAATTCACAAAGGATGAGACTTCAGAATCGATTCTAGGTTATCTGTTTAGTCCGTTTATTTAGAGTTCCTTGTAATCTGTTTAGTCCGTTTTCTTAGAGTTCCTTGTAATAACTAATATGGCTCATTTCTGTGCTTTATCATTAAGTAAACCGGCAAAATACTCAACCAAATGCAGAAACTAAAAATCAAGCTTCACATCGTCACATTTTTAGAGTTTTGGATCGTCTTTACAGTCTCATCCTTTGTGGGTAACCTAACCCTTTATATAATAATGTTTTAGTTTTAAAGGGACTTTAAGGGCACGTAGCATTCCATGCAAAGATGTCAATGCCCGATTTACTATTGCGCCCTTTTAAGCTTTGTCTGATCAAGTATGAAATAGGTATCTATTTTTTTTGTTCCTTTCAACTGTTATTTTTTCAATTGCGGTTTTTCTGCGAATTTTTTGTTCCTTTCAACTGTTATTTTTTCAATTGCGGTTTTTCTGCGAAAGTGTGTTGGACATATCTTGCTTAATATTAGAAACATTGGAGAAATTATCAGAAATAAACATTTTCTTCCACTTTTTTGATCAGATGAAGGTGTCAAGGGTACTGCTGGAAACCTAACTTTACCATCTTTGCATGGAGGGTTACTTGAAATTATGCTTTCAGGATGCTAATCAGCAATTTTCAGGGGCTTAGTTTCATACGATATATAATAAACATCACACATGTGATAGGGGTTACATTAATCATACTTTTGTTAAATCTAAATAGTTTAAAATTAAACTTTTGTTTTTCAAATTGCAAAATTTTTAAATTGCAAATTTTGTCAATTTTTTGTTTCTAGAAAACAGAAACGGTTTTTTAAACTTGAAGGTATTAAATAATTTGTGTCCTTAACATTACTTAGACCTTGTGTTTTTTATTTGTAACCGTTGCTCTACATTGGGACATGTAAACTGTGAAATAGGAAGACGACATTTAAGCGGTTTGATTTTTATTTTCTCGATAAAAAAAATGCCAGTTCACTGCACATTTGATTGGACTATTTAAAACCAAAACTTGAGTTTAAAAGTCAACTTCCTATGTCATAGTTATTAGTTATATATGTCTCATTGTCTATGCAATGTGCATGGAAAAGGGGACAATCCCTTGAATAATAATAAATTATTCTGTATTAAAATTACTTAATAAAGTTGAGGAGTCCATCTCATCCATCAGTATATGAGTAGTTCTTCTGCCCAGTCCATCCGATGGCTTCTGAAATATTAATTATTTGTTTTTAGTTTTTTTTGGCAAGTTTATTATTTTTTCATTTACTTACCGCAGGGGACCAGAAAAATGGAGAATTAAGTTGTTGAGCCTTTTTTATGCGTAATGAAATCTCAAATTTGTCCTGTAACTTAAAGGGGGTGTTCGCGAAAATGGTATCGTAAAGTAATCAACTTAATTTCAAACAAATCATTCAGATATTACAACCTAAAGTCATCGATTATTTTTTGACACATTCGTATATAGTTAATATTTCATAATATTTGTTATTTGTTTTATATAAAATGCACTTAAAACGACTTTTTTCCGCTAGGTGTCCCTGCCACGTGTAATCATTCAAAGCATTGAGAGCTGATACATCTGGTGGGGAAATATTTCTGCGTTTAAAGGGCATTGTATAAAAAACGAATATTAAATATTTACTATAAACGAATGCCATGAAAATTAATCGATGACTATAGGTTTTATTATCTGAATGATTTGTTTGACATTAAATAGATTTTTACGATCCGAGTCGTATATTGCAACTTTCTGAATTTGTATGGATGCTACGTTCTTCACTCTTCAGTAAAGACGTTTTTAACTATTTTCTCTTAATAGACGCAACTGGTAAAAGTAAGATTGGTAGAGATCAAAAGCGATTATTTTTCGTCGTAAGCCTATATCCCCTTTCATCTTTCGCGAACACTTCCTTTAAAAATTAATTTTCATTCGTTCTCTTGTTATAAAGCGGGTGAAAATTTCTAGAATTATAATATATCTGATATTTTAACCCCCTTCATCTGGGTAATATCTCTTCAGATTGATTAAACTCAAGACCCCCGCTAGAGTTTATAGTTGTAAACCCCTCTTATCGCCCTTTTTTCTAAGACACCCTGTATGCGTTTATGATAATTGTTTTAATGTAGGTGTCTCCGTCTGGCCTGGTTGCCACAGCTGACGTCAGTGGGGTTGTCAAGGTTAAATAAATAAATAGTGGTTTAGAGTTGAGGGTTGAGGGTTGAGGGTTGAGGGTTTAGAGTTGAGGGTTTAGGGTTTAGAGTTGAGGGTTTAGGGTTTAGAGTTTATGGTTTAGAGTTGAGGGTTTAGGGTTGACGGTTAAGAGTTGAGGGTTTAAGGTTTAGAGTTGAGGGTTTAGGGTTTAGAGTTAAGGGTTTAGGGTTTAGGGTTTAGAGTTAAGGGTTTAGGGTTTAAAGTTGAGGATTCGGGGTTTAGAGTTGAGAGTTTATGTTTTTAGAGTTGAGGGTTTAGAGTTGAGGGTTTAGAGTTGAGGGATTAGAGTTGAGGGATTAGAGTTTATGGTTTAGGGTTGAGGGATTAGGGTGTGCCATTTTATTAAACATCTAAAGTTCCAAAATGTGTTTTTGTTCAGAGAACTATATAATAAAACCATAAGGGCGTTTATTATCAAGTGAAGTAATTAATCATTATTATCTAACGAATCGTTACCATTTTTCACTAAAACTCCCTTTTAGAGTCAGTAAATGTAACTTTAAGTGGCTCTCCATGTTCAAATTCACTACAGTACCCTTAAAACCTTAATCTGTGTAGCAATGAGGATTAGAACATCTTTGTTTTTTCTATCTAGAAGAAATTATGACAATTTCCTTTATGTTTCTCGTGAATAATAAGGTAAAAAGTCACTTTTACAGAGAAACTACAATAAAAAATAATCAATTTTTACGCCAGCAAAACAGGGACATCTCAGTCATGCTTCTTGAACCAGACAAAAGGTTTGAAGGCTACTGCTGTGAATCGGACTTTTTATAAATGTTGGGTCACCGGAAATTTTGTCTACATTCCCTTTAAGCACTAATCCCTAGAAATGTTTCCATTGAATAATTTATCAAATCCATAAAACCCAAGTATTCTCAAAATGACCAATAATTACAATTATAAAGACAATAAATCGAATGGCCCACCACACATTAAAATGATTGATGTGTCAATAAATAAAAGAAGCCGCCGAGGAATTTCAGGCTTTTTACGCAAATGGTTTACACAATGCATTTTTTTTGTGGTTGAAGAATACCTAAATATGTGGACAATTGTTTTTCTTAAATTAAACGTTTTGTGGAAATATATATTTTAAAGGACTTTAAATATCTTAAAAGTGTTCTCCAAAGTCGTATTTTATACAACGAACGAATTTTCCGAAAGATTTTGAAATAACGATCTTTTTAACTTAATTAAAGCGATTTTTTGAGAGAAAAAAAAACTTTGAAAACGATAGTCTTTACTTAACGAATGATTTTTTCGAACAAACTTAAAACGATCGTTTTTTACAGAAAGAACGATATTTAACGAACGATTTTACTGGATGAGCGATTTTACTGAACGAACGATTTTATTTAACGAACAATTTTACTGAATGAACGATTTACTGAACCAACGATATTACTGAACGAACGATTTTACTGAACGAACGATTCTAGTGAACGGTTGTTCAATGAGAAAATGACGAAATAGATGGAAAATTAACGATGATTTTGAAAACGAACGAAATCAAATTTTTTGAACGATTAGAAAAAAATCTATCATAGTTCGTTCACGAACGATGAACGAATGAACGCGCGTATCTCTTAGGATGAGCTTAAGGAAATATACACTAAAGGATGATTATAATAAAGGGTGAATCGTAATAAATGAGGATAAGCTTAAAGAAACAAACATTAATGAATATCCGTAAACAAATATCCCTTTTATTTCGGGTCTGAAAATAATCCCATTAATTCACGTTTTGAATTCTATCCCCTAATCTTCGGTGCTAGCAGCTGAGTGTATTTGATGTTGTTACCAAGCAAAAAGTTACACTGTAACTATTGTAAATCTAGGTCTGGTCTACTGGTGCCTCAATGCACCCATCAACCATATCTACCTTTATCTCAGCAAGGTAAGACTAAATCCAAAAATGTCGTCTTATTGTTTAAAATTAGGAACAGTAATTTAAAGATTTTACGTGTTTAAAGGTTCCGTAAGCTTAATTTCAAGTAATACGCGAAGATATAGTCCGATCATCGGTACCCTTTAAAGCTTTGTCTGATCAAGTATGAATTAGATATCCATGTTTTTGTTTATTTGAACTATTCATCTTCATTAGAAGTTTCTCTGCTAAATTTACTCGCACATTTCCTGCTTATTCGAAACAATGGAGAAATTATCAGAGTTAAACACTTATTGAGTCAGAAAAACGACATTTTCTTCCAATTTTTTAATTTTAATTTAAAGTTTAATTTTTAATTAGACCCTGCTATCTTTGCACGGAGAGTCACTTGAAATTAGTTAGTGATGTGTTTTTAGTCAATTTTGGATCTTTTTTAGTCGTTTTTAGTCATTTTGGATATTTATAGTCGTTTTTAGTCATTTTGGATCTTTTTAAGCCGTTTTTAGTCATTTTGGGTCGTTTCTTGTCGGTATTTTCTTTCAGGGTCAAAATATGGCGTAATGTAGGAAAAGCCAATGTTCAATTAGTATTTATAGCTTTTAACTTCTTACACATGTCAAATTTAGACCCTGGTAGAAGATGTATGCAGAAAACGAGCCTAAAACTATCCAAAAACTTTGCAAAAACGAACGTCGAACGTGTTTTAACAATTTAGGATAGTTTCAGGATCGTTTTTCCATTTCTTATATTTTTGTCTTGCTTTTGTCATGTTTCTTAATTAATTCAGTGCTTAGGATCCGGATCCGTTGGATCCGCAAGATTTTGGCGTACAGGATCCGGATTCAAGTGTCAAATTATCAACAAAAAACAGCAAAAAAAAGCTTGCTCTAAAAACCAAAATCTGAACTATTGAAAAAGGAGAGATTATAAGACTTTCCTGATTTCTGAATGGTTAATTTTTTTCTGGGATCCGGATCCGGATCCACATCTGCATCAAAATTAAATGGATCCTAAGCACTAATGATTACGGATGACTGTTAATTTTTTATTAATAGTCCAGTAAGCTGCTTGGTCTGGTTGGATGATAGAAAACTTATCTATGGTACTCATATGGGTCAGGTCAGTCTTTGTTCATTTAATGGGGGAAGAGGGAAGAAGCAAAAAAAAGAGGAAATTTGTTTTTTATCTGCTGGTTTTAGCTATTACAGGAAGCTATGCAAAACCATTTTGGGTGTGAGGGATAGTAAGATGTCCCTAAAACTCTGTTTAATTTTATTTGACAAGAAGCGATATCAACGACATGCTATACTATATAGTGTGAACACTACACATTCTACTTTATTTTCCCGGTACTCAATTTTCAGCTTAAAAAAGTAAATACCAGTTAACGATTGCTAAACAATGACTGTAAAGCGATCATTTTACAAAATGGAGAATATCTTGAATTTCCGTCTACTGTCCCTTAAAGGTTTATAATGCTAGGTCAGACTGTGTGATGTGGAAGATAAATGTTTAGTCATGGAAACCGCCTGCAATAAGCTTACCGGTCAACCTATCAGGTTCATCTATTCATTTATTTATTTATTCATTTATTCATTTATTCATTAATTCATTTATTCATTTATTCATTTATTCATTTATTCATTTATTATTCATTTGTTCATTTGTTCATTTGTTCATTTGTTCTGTTCGTTTGTTCATTTGTTTATCTGTTCCATTATTTTTTTTCTCGTTCATTCGTTTATTCATTTATTCACTTTTTATTTATCAGTTGTTCAGGTGTTCAGTTGTTCAGTTCTTTATATTTACATTCGATAATTTATGCATTTATTTACTTCGATCCTTTATCCTAATCATATTTTAGTGCTTTGGCATCTAGACCATCAGGAAGTTCCTTTTTTGTTTGCAGTGCTGGCAAAGCTCTTATTATTAACTCTAAGGAAATCAGGGTATATGGTTCAATGGATCCGTTCTATTATCAAATGGATCAAGCTCATGAATATTTTCTAAATTTTCATGTTTTTTCTATTATTTTCTCTGAAACTTGAATATCCACTCAAGAGATCAGAGCAGTTTTATTAATCTTTCATCAGCCAATACTCTAGATTATGTTGTTCTTTATATTTTGAGGATTAAAGGGACTGTAAGCGTAATTTCAAGTGACCCTTTTTGCAAAAATGGCAATGCCCAATTCACAATGGTATCCCTTAAAAATTTGTAATAAGTACAAATTATACATCCATGTTTATAACGTTGAAAACTAATTATTTTCAATTTGGATTTCTCTACCAAAGTGACCTGCGTTTTTCTACTGTAGGAAACAAGAAAGATATTATTAGAATTAAACACTTTTCAAGCTGAAAACGACGTTATCTTCCACATTACTGATCAGATAAAGGTCAAATGGGTACCATTGAGAATCTAATGCTTGATAAACTTTCAAAAATAAACTAAAAGTTTCTTTTTAAAAAAGTTAAAAACAAGCAAAATAATATCTTTGGGCGATGGGGAGTATTGAGTAAGTTGGGTAAATTAAAATTGTATTTTAAAGTTTATACTCAAATATTCATTTTATCAGAAAGTTTTATTTATTTCCCCCAATTATATGATGGGATCAATATGAAAGTCTATAGGAGAGATGCAACTGATGTTTCAAGAAAAGTATAAAATAAAAGTAAACGAATTATTTCTCAATTAGCTTTTTTGTGTCCATAATGTGCTCAAACTCGTTGGCAAGTCTTTGTTTTTCAAACTGGGGAGGGAGGGACTGTCGTCTTACTTTTAAAGTGACCATTCATTAAAAAAAAGGAAGGCATGTTCCATTCTCAACGGTACCCTTGAAACTTGAAGCTGACCCTTAATGTGGAAGATAATGTCCTTTTCTTGGCTTGAGAAGTGTTAAACTCACTTAAATTAATTTCTCCATTATTTCTGGAGTAAAAAATGCGCTAATTACTTTCGCAGTGTCACTCTGTCAATGTAGGTTTAGTTGAAATTACGTATACAGTCCCTTTAAGATCTAACATTGTTGAGTGTACAGTTCCTTTAATATCTAATATTGTTGAGTGTACAGTCCCTTTAAGATCTAACATTGTTGAGTTTACAGTTCCTTTAATATCAAACATTGTTGACTGTACAGTCCCTTTAAGATCAAACATTGTTGAGTGTACTGTCCCTTTAAGATCAAACATTGTTGAGTGCACAGTCCCTTTAATATCAAACATTGTTGAGTGTACAGTCCCTTTAAGATTAAACATTGTTGAGTGTACAGTTCCTTTAAGATCTAACATTGTTAATTGGATAATTGATTGATACCCTGCATGAGCCAGAACTTCAGTGTAGAGGTAGAACTGGTTGACCCTGCTCTGACCGGAGTATCAGCTGCGCACTTTAACCATAACGGGGCATTGCTCGTATTTGCAACCAACAAGGGCAAGGGAGGATAACAGTTAATGGCCATCTTTTCTTTAATTTCAAATTTGTATTTTTTGGTAAAATGTTTGAGTTTAAAGAAACGCATTATTTAATTCAGATTATTAACTGAATTTTGGTAAAAGTATTTTAAATATTTCTTAGGTCTTAAGAAAAATAAAGAGTGTTTTGCAATCGGGAAACAAATTCATGAAAAAATAATTAAAGATTTATTTAATTTTTATCTGCTAAGGTCGGAATAATGGATTTGAACCGAAATGAGATCTTGGCTACGTGGTCCGGACATCAGAAGGAAAAGATCATTTTAAAAATAAAATTATTTTTACAAAATTATTAAAAATTAATCAGACAATTTTAAAGTTCTTAAAAGATATTAACAGTAATATTATCTTCTTTTTTTATTTGATTTTTTCCAGGGTGTTATAGGCTTAGAACTTAGCCTTGATGAGACCAGTGTTTGGAGTTTAGGAAGGGAGGGAACACTTCTTCAATCCAGTTTACTCCGTCCTGGAGATAAGGTTATAGTTTACTCCGTCCTGGAGATAAGGTTAGAGTTTACTCCGTCCTGGAGATAAGGTTAGAGTTTACTCCGTCCTGGAGATAAGGTTAGAGTTTACTCCGTCCTAAGCGTTTACTTCGTACTAGAGATAAGGTTAGAGCTTACACAATCCTGGAAATCAGGTTAGAGTTTACGCCATCCTGGAGATAAGGTTAGAGTTTAATCCGTCCTGGAGATAAGGTTGGAGTTTACTCCGTCCTAGAGATAAGGTTAGAGTTTACTCCGTCCAGGAGATAAGGTAAGAGTTTACTACATCTTAGAGATAAGGTTAGAGTTTACTCCGTCCTACAGATAAGGTTAGAGTTTAATCCGTCCTGGAGATAAGGTTAGAGTTTAATCCGTCCTGGAGATAAGGTTAGAGTTTAATCCGTCCTGGAGATAAGGTTAGAGTTTACTCCGTCCTGGAGATAAGGTTAGAGTTTACTCCATCCTGGAGATAAGGTTAGAGTTTACTACGTCCTGGAGATAAGGTTAGCGTTTACTCCGTTCTGGAGATAAGGTTAGAGTTTACTACATCTTAGAGATAAGGTTGGAGTTTACCCCATCCTGGAGATAAGGTTAGAGTTTACTCCATCCCGGAGATTTGGTTAGAGTTTACTCCATCCGTGAGATAATGTTAGAGTTTACTCCGTCCTGGAGATAAGGTAAGAGTTTAATCCGTCCTAGAGATAAGGTTAGAGTTTACTTCATCCTGGAGATAAGGTTGGAGTTTACCCCATCCCGGAGATCAGATTAGAGCTTACTCTATCCTAGAGATAAGGTTAGAGTTTACTCCGTCCTGGAGATAAGGTTAGAGTTTACTCCGTCCTGGAGATAAGGTTTGAGTTTACTTCGTCCTAGAGATAAGGTTAGCGTTTACTCCGTACTAGAGATAAGGTTAGCGTTTACTTCGTACTAGAGATAAGGTTAGAGCTTACACAATCCTGGAAATCAGGTTAGAGTTTACGCCATCCTGGAGATAAGGTTAGAGTTTACTCCGTCCTACAGGTAAGGTTAGAGTTTAATCCGTCCTGGATATAAGGTTGGAGTTTAATCCGTCCTACAGATTAGAGTTGAATCCGGCCTGGAGATTAGGTTAGAGCTTACTCAATCCAGAAGATAAGGTTAGAGTTTACCCCATATTGGAGATAAGGTTAGAGGTTACTTCATCCTTGAGATCAGTAATCAGTAATCAGTATCAGTATCAGTATCAGTATCAGTATCAGAATCAGTATCAGTATCAGTAATCAGTATTAATATCAATAACAATATCAATATCAATATCAATATCAATATCAATATCAATATCAATATCAATATCAATATCAATATCAATATCAATATCAATATCAATATCATGGAAATCAGGTTAGAGTTTACGCCATCCTGGAGATCAGGTTAGAGTTTCCTCCGTCCTACAGGTAAATTTAGAGTTTAATCCGTCCTGGATATAAGGTTGGAGTTTACTCCGTCCTACAGATATGGTTAGAGTTTAATCCGGCCTGGAGATAAGGTTAGAGCTTACTCAGTCCAGAAGATAAGGATAGAGTTTACCCCATATTGGAGATAAGGTTAGAGGTTACTTCATCCTGGAGATCAGTATCAGTATCAGTATCAGTATCAGTATCAGTATCAGTATCCGTATCAGTATCAGTATCAGTATCAGTATCAGTATTAATTTGGTTGTAGTTGTCGTTGTTGTTGTTATAATTTTTTTATTATTATAAATTTTGTTGTTATTATTATTATTATGCTGAAGGTATGGAGCGGAGATGTATCTACTAAGGACGGGTTTACCGGAGATTTTGCTCTGTCTCCGGACGGAGAACATATACTTTACGGCTCCGACGAAGGAGCAGTTATTTACAGGTTTAAGAAGATTTTTAAGGGATTGTTTAAATAACTTTGTGTGAACTCAAATCTCAAGTCTGGAGTCCCGACCCACAATAACAGTGCCTTTTTATTAGATAAACAATAAACATGGTGTAATGTAATAAGGTATGGATCGTTTTCACGTTTTTGTTAAAAAATCGTTTCGTTTTAAAAACAATCGTTTTTTTAAATGGTCGTATTAAAAACCATTTTTTTAAACGATCGTTTTTAAAAAGTACCGTTTTAATGATGTTCGTTGTTTCGTTAATGCTCGTTAACGACGACCCATAGTTAATGATTGTTAACGACGACCCTCAGTTAATGATCGTTAACGACGACCCTTCGTTAACGATCGTTATCAATCATTACATTATCCAATAAATAATCAAATCAGACTTCTAGCGATGTCATACTTTAAATTAAAGATGACTGTACTAAGTCAAATATGAAGTCTAGGGTTTACGATATTCTACCATTCAACTTATTACTTTTGCGTCTCATGGTATAATTGTGTAAGTAATTTTAATAGTCGATCATTTTGCTTCAAATTTGAACCACTTTACACACACACAAACATACAATCATCAATTTGAAATATTTACTTATAAATTGACAACATATTAATCGTTGCTTATGATCAAAATTTGAGTTTTCGTTTCTTTTATGATACCTGAAAGAAAACAATAATTTTTTAAAATTAATTCTCTAAACGAAGTAAAACTTGTTACTTACATGATTAATAACATTTTTTAACGCATTTTTGCATTAATAACATAAGAATGTAGATCTCAAAACTTCTATAAATTTCATTTGTTTAACCATTGGTTATTGAATAAGTTATTGATTGATATTACGACATGATTGATGTAAAGATAATAAATTAAGGGTCCTCGTTAACGATCGTTAACAAAGGGTCGTCTATAGCGATGGTTACAGAATGGTCGTCGTTAACGATCGTTAGTTAAGGGTCATCGTTAACGCTTATTAACGAAGGTTTGTCGTTTACGATCGTTAATTAAGGGTCGTCGTTTACGATCGTTGATTAAGGGTAGTCGTTAACGATCATTAACGAAGGGTCGTCGGTAACGAAGGGTTGTCGTTAACTCATATTTATTAATGACAATTTTTGATTTTAAAATACTGGTAAGTTGAGATAAGACCCGTGAATTAGGAAGAGGACTATTAAACTCAAGTAAAAATAGTCCAATGGACGTGAAACAGAAATTGTGCAGTGTACACAGACCAATTTGAATTAAAACGTGATTTTCACGCTAATGTCGAAACATTTCCTTACAATTTGCATAAGATTGATTTTTTGTCGTCTTTCTACTCCACAGTTTTATGAGTCTCACTTATTAATGCAGTGGAGTGCTCTGATCCCATTAAGATCGATCCGGATCTAGAATCCGTCCTATACGAACAAATGAATTCAGATCCGCTTTTCAAATTTCTTTTTTGCAGCTGGTTTCTAGCCACAAATATCCGGAATATTCTTGTGTATCTGGATCCTGGGATATGAAATATTCCGGATCCGGGTGCTAAGCCCTGTTATTTTCCTAGGATCGGAGACCAGGATGGAGAGATGACCCGTGTTCTAGGGATACGAGGAGTTACTCCTATAACATCCGTACACTGGAGTTCAGGTACACACCACGAAATATCGAAGATAAGTCATCTTTAAGAAACGCGGCATTGTGCTCATACTAAAATTGACATTATTAAAAAATCAACCATTTGTATTTCTTATCCACTTCAAGGATCGCTGTTCTTGCAAGGATCTAATAAAGTAAAACTTCCTTGTGAAAAGTTTAAAATTATTATTAATGTCTATATAATTAACGATCCACTGACAATGAAACTATCAGTTTGAAAGATTAATCACACTAAGTATTTGACACGCCTAATCAAAATAAATGAATGTGTCAATCTGAACTATTGCAATTGGGGAAAAAATTGTTTAAATAATTGGAAAAATTCGGGCACTGATTACTGTCCCTGATTTACCTTGATCTGATCAATAATATGGGAGACTAGATAAAATTCCCGGCGTTGCCCGTGGAAAAACAATTTTATTTTAAAGAAAAGAAATGAGTTTTTTAAGCCTATGTTACTCTTCTCCCCGGGCACCTTTGGGTTTCCTCAAAAAATGTCAGCCCATTCGGTCCAGCCGTTTGGCCAGTTGTGTAGCTAACATATGAACAAATAAATATATATGAGTAAAAAGCTTTATTATATAGATAACGTCGGTTTTCTAGCTTTAAAGGGGTTGAATTCTGATAATTTGTACAACGTCGTCCTGCTGCGGAAATGAGCCAGTCACTTATATAGAATAAAGAATTCATTACTATAGATAATCCATTTTTAAACATATAAACGTGGATATCAAATTTATACTTAATCAGACAACGGGTACCACCGTTGTGAATCTTACATGCCAATCTTGAAATGGAGGGTCATTTGAAATGTTGTCTACAGACCCTTTAAGTCTGTGAATTAGTAAACCAACACTGTCCACTGGACTGATTATTAAATATTAAGATTGATTGTAGTGAATGGGTTCTTTTCATATCATTATTTGCTTTATTAAGGTTTTACAGTAAATGATTTATGATCTTGATGTTTATTGCTGTTAATTACATTTTATCAGTTCCACCAATTATTTCGAAAGGTGGACACAAGATTCCAATTAGCTGCTGGGATGGATGGTTCGCTAAAGATATCTACTCTGCTACAGCAGTGAATAAAACACTCTAAGGGACCGTAGACGTAACTTAATTTAAGGAACCGTATACATAACTTGATTTAAGGGATCGTAGACGTAGCTTAATTTAAAGGACCGTAGACGTAACTTAATTTAAGGGACCGTAGACGTAGCTTAATTTAAGGGACCGTAGACATAACTTAATTGAAGGGACCGTAGATGTAGCTTAATTTAAGGGACCGTAGACAATTTAGTAAACCATATAAATATGCAGAAACCAAAAATCAAGCTACAGTGAATCCCGGATATATTAATACATAGCAAGAGTTTTTTATAATGTCGTATTACATATTTAAGATCAAAAGGAGTTTAATATTAATATATCAATTGCATTCATATTTCAGGGCTATTAATATACTTTGCATTAAAATAAAAAGAAGTTTCTAAGAATTTTTAAAAAACTTATGACTGTCTATGCATTCATATATCTGGGATTCACCGTACAAAACGTCACATTTTTAGAGTTTTGGGTCGTCTTTATAGTCTCATCCTTTGTTGGGTAACCCTGTATGTCTGTACATATTTGTGGTTCACTTTCATATGATAATTGTTTTTAATATAAAAACCTCAATTAGTTTTTCAACAGAAACAATTCTCTGGTACAAGTTGTCCCAATAAACACGGGACTTCAAAGACAATAATAAAGTTGTCCCAATAAACACAGGACAACAAAGACAATAATAAAGTTGTCCCAATAAACACGGGATACAAAGACGATAATAAAGTTGTCCCACTAAATATGGGATTCTTAATCCCATTAAATCAAATCAACAAAGATTACCAATATTTCAATCTAAAGTTTCAAGATTTTGTTTTTAAAATTGTATCTTTGTTTCTAAGTATAAGTGACAGATTCATTAGATTGTTTGGATTATATGATTTTATTGTTTAAGCTAAAATCTGGAGACACTTCTTCCATTAATATTTTAGGTTAGGTTTTTGATACAAAGTTTTAAGTAAATATCTAATAAAAAAATCACTTAAAATTGCTATTATTGGGATGCTATGCCTTAAATTATTTGAAACTTTTTTCCAAATATTTGAGTACAGTGAGTACATTCGGCCACATCATGATGAAATGCATTAGGAAGAAAGCATTTAAATGTCGTATTTCTTTATCTAGCAAGTCGTTAACGTTTTATTTACTTCTGTGATATCATTATTTACTCTTAGCTTTACTTTTTGTGATTTGTAAAATATCTTTTCAAGAAATATATCTTTTTTAAACAGAACACCTATTATTACAGACTAGGGAGCTAAGATTTATTTACTATTTGTGTGAGGAGGCGGTTTAGGGAAAGATAGGAGACGTCCCCCCCCGCCCCCTAATAAAAAATTAGGGTTGCAACTTTATTTTCTAGAGATGATTTTTTACTTTTGCGGCATCACTGAAAGTGGAGATTTATAAGAATACTAAAGTTTGTAATACATTTTGGAGATTTATAAGAATACTCAAGTTTGTAATACATTTTGGAGATTTTTAAGAATACTCAAGTTTGTAATACATTTTGGAGATTTATAAGAATACTCAAGTTTGTAATACATTTTGAAGATTTATAAGAATACGCGAGTTTGTAATACATTTTGGAGATTTATAAGAATACTCAAGTTTGTTATACATTTTGGAGATTTTTAAGAATACTCAAGTTTGTAATACATTTTCGAGATTTATAAGAATACTCAAGTTTGTAATACATTTTGGAGTTTTATAAGAATACTCAAGTTTGTAATACATTTTGGAGTTTTATAAGAATACTCAAGTTTGTAATACATTTTGGAGATTTATGAGAATACACAAGTTTGTAATACATTTTGGAGATTTATAAGAATACGCGAGTTTGTAATACATTTTGGAGATTTATAAGAATACTCAAGTTTGTTATACATTTTGGAGATTTATGAGAATACACAAGTTTGTAATACATTTTGGAGATTTATAAGAACACTCTAGTTTGTAATACATTTTGGAGATTTATAAGAATACTCAAGTTTGTAACACATTTTGGAGATTTATGAGAATACACAAGTTTGTTGTACATTTTGGAGTTTTATAAGAATACTCAAGTTTGTAATACATTTTGGAGATTTATAAGAATACTCAAGTTAGTAATACATTTTGGAGATTTATAAAAATACTTAAGTTTGTTGTACATTTTGGAGATTTATAATAGTACTTAAGTTTGTTATACATTTTGGAGATTTATAAGAATACTCAAATTTGTAATACATTTTGGAAATTTAAAAGAATACTTAAGTTTGTTATACATTTTCCTCTTTCCACCCGCGGCTTGTCATGGGTCCGACATAAAAATTACCAAATTCGTTATCTAAAATTCCGAGGGGCGGCGGTGGGGATTTTAGCAATGGTGGGAATACAAAATTTCAGTCTACAGGAAAGGGAATTAGAATTTTACAAAAAGTGAGAATTTGAATGACTTAAATACATATATATTTCAAACACTTATTTTCAATATGAGACGATGTTGCATTGCATGAGATTTATCTTAAATATCATTCTCATCAGAAGCTGCTACTGGAGAATGTGGAGCTTCACAGTAGATTCTTCACTTTCTTTGCTAGCTGCTGCTCCTAGATAAATTGGAGCTTCACCTGCAGAAGGTTCTTCTCTTTCATTTGCTGGCTGCAGCTCCTGGATAATGTTGAGCTACACATTAGGTCCTGTACTATTTTTGAAGTTATTTTTAACATTTGTATTTTGAAGTGTGTATCAGATGAACCTAGAAACAATTACTATTAGGGCAGTGTGTCGTTGTATAAAAGTCTTAAAATAAAGATTTTTAAGATTTGGATTAATTTGTCGATATTTTCTGTATACTGCTCGACCGATCGACCTGAAAAGTGCATTGATATCCCATAAGTTTAATAAAAGTTTGTCACTCCAAATTAAACTTTCTAACCTGCACTCTCAAGAGATGGTTATGCAAGTTAGATCAAATAAAATAGTTGGAAGAAATTCCTCAAATCTTCGCTTAAATAAATTATAAAAATAGTTTTATTGATAAAATCTGCAGCAATATACGATTCATAATTTGACTAGGAATATAGAGGACGGGTTACAGGAATCACTCAGAAATATTTTTTGGCACTTTGACATCAAAGCCAGATAAATTAAGAACTAAAGCAGCTTTTTTATCACATGCGGTTTTTTCAGTTTAGAGTAAATATTGCATCTTATTAACTATTCAGTCACTAAATCTCCGATTTTCTGCCTCCTCAGTCTTGCCTTTTGAGAGATTTGATTGGCTCGAAGACGACCCTTTAACAAATGTTCCATTTTCTTTTTGCAATTTGACTGTCGTCTTCACAATATCCGAGACAGCGGACATCTTGGAAATATTCAAGTCCGAATCCTTTTCACTCATCCCGATCCCACTAGAAGCACTCTCCGTGGTCCTGGACCCGGATTCAATACTTTCTCCTTCCTCATCTTCTCCTTCCTCCTCCCCCACACAAAACTAAAGAAAATTTAATCAGGGTCAGCCATTATGACGATTATTTCAAGCATTAATTAATGTAACAATATGGCCTGATCTGATAAAAACAAAAGACGACATTAAAAACATCAAAACATGTAATCATTTATTTCTTATTTTTAAATTTCAGGTCGCAATAGAGTCTCACTCTCAACCATTTAGAATTTAGATGAATCCAGTATAGCAAACCATAGATTAATTACGAACAATAATACAGAGAGAAGACTAGATGACGGCTTTTCATGGTTTAAGGATTTTTCGTACACAACAACTCCAAATGAGTTACGCGCATGCCGCATTGAACAAGACAGAGAGCACGCGCGTAACTCCTTTGTGCCTCAGGGTTATTGTAAACGAAAAACCCATACATCTTGAAAAGACGACATCTAGTGTTCTATCTGTATTGTTTGCTAACCAATGAGCAAAACGATCAATGAAAAAGTGAAATTATAATAAACAATAAATACCTCTGTTGACTGTTCATGTGACGATTGTTCCAAATGAACTTGAACAAATTGTTCCTTTTCATTACTCCCCTGGAACCCTTCATCTTCCTTCCGGAACACAGAGTTGTCCAGCCTGTTCCCAGACTCAGGTATAAAAATCTTCGGTAGGAACTGGTGACCGTTTTCTTCCAAATTTTGAACATTTCCATCAACTAAATTGATATCAATCTTATCTTCACCCATTGCCCTAGATAGTTCAGAACATGATAATCGTAGAAAGCGTAATTGGAAAAAATGCGTGTTTTGAGGTCTTGGGCTTTTTTCTAATTAAAAACCTCAAAAATAAATTTATTAAAAGAATTAATATTAATATACGTCGACTAAAAAATCTCTAGGTTAAGAGAAGAAAACAAAGAATTTTTGAGAGAAAAAATTTGATAGTTTGAGACTTGAGACTACCAGATATTCCATTTAACTTTAAGTCCCCAACCAAATTTTTTTTCAATTGTTCAGGCCGATATATGTTTTAGTAAAATCATGACCGCGAGCAATATAGAGTCAGACATGTACTATTATTTCATTACAAAGCAAGCTCTGAGCAACAAAAACAAAAATTTAATGATACTGTAAATTGAGAATATGATTATTCTGAATGTTATGCTTACTCGGTATTTCCATTAAACCCAGAAAGGGGCTTCAACCATTAATTTAGTTGCCATTAAAGGGACTGTAAGCGTAATTTCAAAGACCCTTCATGCAAACATGGCAATGTCTGCATGAAGTTTGAATTAGATATAATGATTTTTTATTTTAACCGTTTATATTAAATTTAGTATCTGCAAAAGTCAAATTGGCATTTATTGATTAAATGAAAGTGAAACTTTTCAAAGAAATTAACACTTTTCGAGACAGAATAATAAAAACGACGATATCTTCCACATTTTGGATCAGATTAAAGTTTCAAGATTACCGTTGTAAATCTGGCATTGTTATCTTTTCAAGGAGGATCGTTTAAAATTACGCGTACAGTCCCTTTAAAATTTTAATTTTTTAGAATCATTATACATTAAATTTTTCTCTGAAAACAATTGAGACGTGGTTAAAACGCTTATTCATTTAAAATTACGAAATCAGTTCCTTAGAAAGGACAGATCCCTTAAATATCATGTCATAAGTTCCTGAGTGAGTATGTTGGGTACATTTGTAAACCCTGAATTGTTTCTTCCTCTTTTCTCTTCCTCGCGTCAATATCTCCGAATATTTTCTTCTTAATAACACCGTAGCTCCTTAATAATATATAGACAATTTAATATATGCAAGCGTTTTAAAATGGGTATAAAAGGTATTTTAATTTTCAACGATTTTTTCCTCTCATTAAAAATTTTTGAACATAAATAATTTATAGAATGACATTTTTTTCGTCAAAATATTTAACTTAAAAACCAAGCCCCCTTGGTTATTATTTCATCACCAAATATGTATTCACAGAAAAATGGCAACAATTTGTCCAACCCTTTTTTCAAAAATTAATATAAACATTTACCCAGTCACCAATTTCAAAAATCTAAAGGTAAAATATTTATTTCAAAGAAATATTGGACTGTTGATTACAGGTGAATGGACCTTTTTATCTAAAGTATTTAATTACATGCATTTATAATAAGCCTCCCACCTCTCTTTCATAAGAATAC